TGTCAAATTTATAAGAGGAGAAAATAAACTAAAGTTTTTGGTGTTGTGCTCTAGACAAGGAAAAATTCAAGCAGTGGTAATTCTAAAGATTCCCGCAGAAAAATAGAGATGTCTCCTACTTTACCCATAATATGTGGAAGGATTGATGTAATTTCATATAGTCATTCGGTAGAAATGCTACATGAAGAACATACGCCAAATGACGAAATGTGAAGGCCTAGGATGTAGAAGATCATAACATGAGTAATTTGGCAGATTTAGATTCCTATATATCCACCTAATATTGGACAGTTGCAAACAAAATATTTCTGTGACATTTTATTGAGTTGGTCTTTTTCTTATTTTCCTACTTTGCCCTTCCTTTTCTTTTAGCCGTCAACACAAACTTTAATTTCTCAGCACCAATCAAACAATCTTCCAGAAAGAAAAATTGATTCAAGAAATTATAGGAAAGCGAACTACAATGATGTTTCCTGCCTGAAATTGGTGACTGTTTTGTTAATGACCAGTTTTACTGCATTTGGACTAGGAAACCATGTTGGCAAAGACAATTATTAGACGTTGTGATACAAGTAAATATCTCAAATGGATGCAGTAAGAAAGAGTCATGCCATTACAAGTTTTGATGATTGCCATTGATACTCCTCTATTCCTTATTTTATTTGGTTTCAACTATTAATTGGAGGCTGTGTGTTTTCATCCAAGGCATGTGCAAGGAATTTGTGAGCATGTGGCAGGTATCATGAAGCACTTGCATGGCTTAGATGTTGACCCTCTTACCGATGTAGTTATTTGCTGTGGCCAGTCTGAGGCATTTGCTGCAACAATGATTGCGAGTATGCATACCTCTTTTTTGTAGTTTCCCAGCTCAAGGTACTTAAATGTTCAATGGAAGGTCTGTTTCATGCTTTTTTTTTCCTCTTTTCACAGTTGTTAATCAGGGCGATGAAGTTATACTATTTGATCCTTCATATGAATCATATGAAACCTGTATTACTATGGCTGGAGGAATCCCAGTAAGCTTCTTGTAACTATTCTACAGGTTCCATTGAGTTTGTTTATACTTTGGGTTTGTTCTGAATTGACTCGAATGCAGAGGGTGACCAGTTTTAGAAATGATTTCTTAATAATATTTTTTTTTTCTATTTGACATAATAGGTGTATGTGGCCCTTGATCCTCCTTACTGGACTTTGGATCCAGACAAACTTATGAAGTGTTTCACTGCCAGGACAAAAGCTCTAGTTTTGAACAGGTAAAAAGTATGTTCTCGTCCATATTATTTGATTCAACGAGAACTCCAGTCACTTGCTTATGAAGCTCAAAAACAGGTAACTGTAGACCCTCAATAACTACATGTATAATGAGGCTGAAACATTTTTTTAACTATAAGGTTTCGATGGTTCCCCGTTTATTATGCTTTATTGTCCCACTTCTAATCTGCCTCTTTAATTCTCAAATAGTTATTACTTTTGTCTTGGTTACAAACTCCACAATTTTGACCACAAACTTGTATGAAAAAGTTCCTAAGTATGGTAGATGTTGAGTTGCTACCCATCGCTCATTTAAAGAGCAGATATTAAACAGGCTAACTATTAAAATGGTATTTAGCTACAGAGAAATTAATACTATGACCCTTTAGCTGCTGTTTGTTTTTAATAACTGACACAATATAGGATAGTTTTATAGATAGTGTCGAAGAATTATTTTTTGTTTAGATGGATGTTATATATTACATCAGTTTAGGGTTTCAAGCACAAATACAAAGTATTGCGCATGGAAAAGGTATATTTTTAAGCTCGACAGTTCATAGAAGTTTCACATTTATTTAGGGCTTAAATCGGCCAGTCCTACATTCTGTCTATATACTACCTCAGCTTCTTAGTGTTGAAGTCAAATATAGCGTCACAGACACAGTGTATAGTCTAGTCCACAATTTGTATCAAAGCAATCAATTAGAAGGTTGGAAGGAGACCATGATAAATGTCATGTTTTGAAAATGAAGAAAATGCAAAACCATGTAGATATTTTCCCTTCTCCATCAGTTTATACTGCATCTGTGATGCAACCATCCAATTAAAGCCTGTGTGGAAATTGATTTGCTTAATCATATTTGTTAGTTTTCCACTATTCCATTTTCTGAAACAGTAATATATTTCTTGCATGGAAATTTAGAAATTAACTGATACAAATTGGCACAGTCCTCACAACCCAACTGGAAAAGTTTTTACCACGGATGAGCTTGAGATTATTGCTGGAGCTTGCCGGGACAGGGATTGCCTAGCTGTAACGGATGAAGTATGAGAACCATTATGCTTATTTTCATAGTATATGAGCAGCATCCCTAGAGTGCCTTACTTATTTAGCATATGGTATCGAAGCTATTCTGCTTGGGTCTTTTGCTGTATTTAGATTATTTGGTTGTTTTAATATCTGCGAGAGAAGATCTATTTACTAATTAAAGAGATGAAATTGAAGTTTTTATGTCAAACCACAATTCTATGGAGACATCACATTTTTTCGGTGCTTTTAACAAACTGACTGGATAACAAGAAGATATTGAGCCATTTATTTATGGTAGTGAGTTGGAATCATATTGGAACAGGTGGAAGTGTGATTGCAGTTGTAACAATGTCGAGGAACCAGTACTAAAAATATTTGAAATATGGTTGGTTAGGTTGCGATTTTTGTTGTCAACTCTTTAGATAACCAGATTATGAGGTAGAGAATAATTGCTGTTTATTTTTTCTTATGACAAAAATGTTTCTGCAGGTGTATGAACATATAACTTTTGACAAGGAAAAACATGTATCACTTGCCTCACTTCCAGAAATGCAGAATCGGACTATCATCACATCTTCCTTGTCAAAAACATTTAGTGTTACAGGTGACCCTTGATTTCCTAACTTCTGCCAATTACTCCAAATGTGCTAATGCTAACCATCTCTTTTTCTTTCCATTATGTTGTTTGAAACAGTATTTCTTATGCTTTTGCTGTCTTCATGTGGCAGATGTTCAATGGCTATCAGTAATACAGAGTTTTTGGTCATAGCTACCTTAGTTATTAGCTTTACTTCTATTCCGTCATTTGTGCTGTCTGTCAGGTTGGAGGATAGGTTGGGCGATTGCTCCGGCTTGTGTTGCATCAGCCATTCGAAACATCCACATTAGAATTACAGATTGTGCTCCTGCACCTTTTCAGGAAGCTGCCTTGACTGCTTTGAGAAGTCCTCCTGAATACTTTCAATTGTTGAGAAGAGTAATATTCTTAAACCAACAGTAGCATATGATAGCATACATTTGAATTTATTCTCATTTCTCAGTTGTTGACTGATAAGTGTTATGCTTCTTAGGATTATGAATCAAAAAGAAATTACATCGTCAAGTTGCTTGCAAGCATTGGTTTCCGGTGTCAGTTTGCGCCTAAGGGGTCATTTTTTGTATTCGCAGAGCTTCCAGAAAGTTGCATCCTCACTGATGTATGTGCCTTTTTCATTTTGTGAGTTTATTATGATTTCAAGAATACCAAGTAATGACCAATCTGGCATATAGTTCTAGCTTCTTAGAGTTTTATTTTTATATTTGTTATTGGGTAATTCACTAGGTTTTGCATCATTGTCTTGTTAATGTTGGAATTCATGTAACTATTGAATTATCAAGACCAAAACAGAGGCTGTCTTTGTAAGATTATTTACAGACTGCCAGTCCAAAACAACATGGACCAACATAGCATGATTATAGTTTTCAGAGAATGTGGAGAAACCCTAGTTTTTAGCCATATGACATCCGTAACGTCCACAAACAATAAAATGAGGTTGGAACAACTTTTTGCAGCCTTAACATCCTGTGAGCTGCATGAGTTGGAGAAGTCGTTTTCGGCAGTGTATATACCTGTTGATGCTTCAATTATCATTTTTTTCAGAACCAAATAACATGGGCCAATCAGAATCTATATATCTAGGTTAGTTATTAAAACGGTATATAGCTTGGTGTCTAATTATTAAGCCAGCCTTCTCAAATTGAATGCAACCTTGCCTGAGTATTTACACAAATAGGATTTTCGATGTAAGATACTTATTCTTTTGTTTCAATTATTGTTGCCGGTGATGCATTGCAGGTCGAATTTGTGGAGGAACTAATTAAACAAGCTGGGGTTGTGGCTGTACCAGGATGTGGTTTTTTTCATTCAGATGCAAAGTCCTCTCAGGCTGCATTTAGGTACCAGAGAAGGTATATCAGATTTGCTTTCTGCAAGAGTGAAGCTACTTTAGCTGCTGCTGCAACAAAAATTGGTGAGATTGTGGATGCTACCGGACGTCTAAAGCTATTTTGATTTGTTGGGAATGCTACTTGTCAAAAGTCGAGGCACTATAAATGGAAACAAAAATGATTTTCATTATATTTACCTTGACATTATAAACAAGAACTCCATCATACGATCGGGTATTATTTTTATCTATGGGAGTGAAGATTGTGGGTTTGTGCATCAATTTATAGTTCATCAAATCGTTCAAATAAAGAGCTGGAGAGAAAAATATATGCTTATATATGTCTACGAACATATGCAAACACCGAGCACACGACAAGAGATTGCAGTTGGTGCAAAAATCTTGTAGTTTTCAAGTCCTGAGAGTTAAGAATGACTATATAGCAGGTTTTAGCTATGCAAGCCTCTTGACATTTTCTTGGACTAGTGCCACTAGACATGCCAATACGCAATCTAAGACTCTGCTGCTATAGAGAAGGTGAAGCCTTTAGTAGTTTAACAGGCTTAAAATCACTTCTACTAATATTAGATTCATATGACGTACATGATTTATAACATCCTTTTAATCCTTTCCCTTGAGCTATATTACAAGGACTCCAAGTCAACAAAACAAAGATCCAATGAATTCGGTCAGAAGAAGATTCGAAGCATAATTAACTAATTTAAAAGATAAAAGAGTATAAATTCTAAAATCTTTCAAATAAGAATTTAAGTTGATTAGTATTTTAAATCAAAATGTTCTCCAAGTCAATTGAGGGGTGGGAAACTGGTAATGATAACTGTTTAGTTCATCCCACGACCGTTCGGGATCGTCTAGCTAGGCTGTCACAACATTATATACGTGTTCCAAGAATACATACTTTAAATAATACACCATTTGCAGCTGAAGTTCTGGTCAGGTGTTCAGAGTATTTTTAATTTTTTTTATACATAGTATACCTGGAAACCCTACTCTCCATTATCCTTTCGTATAAAAATTTCTACTCTCTCTTCGTCGCACCGTTCTGTATCGTAGAGTCTTCGGCATTTATATGGACGAGGTCCGACCGAGTTTCCGGTGCTCCGGCGGCGATCGGAGGCTAGAGATTGTGAGTGGAAAAGGGTTTGCTGGCAATCTGATATATACAACGAGTCGGCCTCGCTCGCCCCGATCTGCCATCGATTCTCCTTATGTGAGTCGATCGAGTCAGGTCGCGAAGCCCTGGGGATTCAATGACCCAGAGATGAAGAGAAAGAAGCGCATAGCCAAGTATAAGGTTTATACTATTGAAGGCAGGTTTAAAGCTTCGATCAAGAATGTGGATTCGTTGGATGAAGAATAAGTGCTCTGCAATCATCCCTGGCTATTAGAGTTCACAAGGAGACCAAGGTAAGAGAAATTTCCTTTCTTTTAGGGGAAAAAAAACCCCTGCAATTCCAGAGAACTTTTGTTTTTTTGATAATCCATTTGCAGAACCAACCTGCTTGTTTTGGAAATTTGTAAACTGGATTTCTATGGTTCCTTCGGTAATATTTATGTTTTTCGTTTTTTGTTTTTATTTTGATGTTTGGTAATATATATGTTTTTTTTTGGATATTTAGAAAGAACGAGAAAAGAATACTCGTTCGGTAATTATTTTTATTTTTTATTTTTTGTCGTCACTTTGTAAACGAGGGACAATTTTTAAAAGCAAGAAATTTTTTTTAACTTACTATTTTATTCTTAAAAAAAAATTTAAATACCATATTATTTTTTTATAATTAAATATTTAAATTATAATTATATCTTTATGTAGTTAAATTTCTAAACTGTCCTCTTACATTTTTTATTATTTTTTTATTATTTTTATATAAATATCAATATTTATAAAAAAATTTAATTGGCTACGTTCCCCTCGTAAAAATATATGAATCATTATAATTTTCAATAAAATATTCAAAAACTCCATAGGTCATTAATTTTTTCAATGATAAAGATAATATTATGTTTATCTATATAAATTTTTTTTCCATCTATACTACTAATGAAAAATAAAATTTTTGCCTTAGCATGAAATTTTTTTTATTTAGTATTTTGTTCTTATAAAGAATTTTAAATATCATACTATATTTCTGTAGTTAATTATCTATATTACCATCATAAATTTATATGTTTAAAACTCCAAATTATTCGTAACTTCTCTTTTAATTCTCTATTTACTATGCATAAATATCAGTGTCTATTAAACTTTTTAATTAATTACATTACCCTTAAAAAATATATATATAACTATAGTTTTTAATAAATTGTTCAAAAACTTCATTAATGTAATATTACTCATTTTAAATATAAAGATAACATTATACTTATATTTGTGTATTTTTTTCAACCAAATTTTAACCATTTTATTTTTAAGATAAAAAATAATCTTTTACATAGTGTTTATAAAATAATTTATGTTAAATCAACATAATTTTCATAATTTTTCAATCATAATAAATTTTTCATGTTTTATTAAGAGTTTAATAAAAAAAATTATAATATGTTTTTAAGTAAAATTTGAAATTTAAAATTTTAATATTCT